GGTTAATATCTCATGCACTTTTTTGCTCAGTTTCCTACTTGACTGTGTTGCACTGTAAACACGTGGTCTGGAATGAGAAGAGCACTGTTTTCGATTGTTCTTGTCCTTCCACAAATTCAGCAAATGGGCAGAAGACAGAGACATGTCAGGCTACCAAAGGTACATTTCTCCTTAGGTTCCCAGGGGACTGGAGGGAGAGGCTGAAGTTCAAGTTCTCAGAAATGTAGAGGAAGGTGAGGGTGAGGTCAATTTCCGCCCTGCAGGAACTGGTCTCACCGCTCTGTTGGGGCAGGTGCTCCAGCCTTTGAAATGGACTCAGCCACTGGGTGTTACACGAAAACAATGGATCGTGGATCAGCACATCAAAAATTAATGATGTGTTGTATGGTGACTAACATAATAAAATTAAAAAAAACATCTGAAATGGACTCAGCAATATCTCCCCTCTGTTTTCAGAGAAGGGGGTATTTTGTTTATTTAGAATGGAGGGCTACAAGTGTCCAGCTGGTCTTCTTCGGTGAGAATCAGTCATTGGTTTTAAAGACCTCTTCTCTTCCTCAGTGCCTACTTCAGAATTGAAAGGTTTAAATGATGGCTCAGATATTTTGTCCACAGCCCTCTAACATGTTTGCCACTGAAAAATAAGATCTGCTAAGAAGAGCTGTAAGGGAAAGAGAGAACACTATGATTGCATTTAATGGCACTTGACTAGAGAACTTCCAAGTGCCCAAATCTTGTCCTGTCAATCACTCCCCAACTTTTGACATTCCCAAGAGAGCTGCATACAGAAAAACTGATAACAATTGGGAAACAAAGTGACACTACATTATTACCTTTCAGAGCTCGATAAAGCTCGCTTAGAGCACATGGTTCACTCTTAAGGCTTGGGAATGACCTGTCCACCCTCTTCCCCTATACATACCTCTGCTTCACCCACAATTTTGGAGTATCACTAGCTCCGGCCAACTATATGGCATGTAACTAAAACAATAACGTTCTACTAAGGTGGGTAAAGATGGCTAGACCCTGAAGGATCCCTGGTTCCACTAGCATTCCAACTCATGGAGTGAAAGCAGGAAGTGCAAGAGAGGATGACCATGCACAGACAGGGTCTGTGTACAGTACTTTGTTCACTGGTAAACACGGCCAACAATATTTCATTTTCTTAATTTTTAGAAAAAAATTGGTTTGAGTACAGTTGACACGACTTTACATTAATTTCACGTGTATAGCAGTGATTCAACTTCTCTATAAATTATGCTGTGCTCACAAGTGTAGCCACCACCTGTCACCATACAACGCTCTTCCCATACCACCGACTGTGTTCTCTATGGTGTGCCTTTCATTACTGTGACTTATTTCTTCCATAACCAGAAGCCTGTGTCTCCCACTCCCCTTTACTCATTTTGCCCATCGCCCACCCACCCAACGTCCCCTCTAGCAACCATTAGTTTGCTCTCTGATTCTGCTTTTTGCTTCTTCTTCTTTCTTCTTAGATTCCACATATGAATGGAATCATCTGGTATTTGTCTTTCTCAGTCTGACATATTGAATTAGCATAACACCCCTCTAATTGATGCATGCTGTCACAAATGGCAACACCTCATCCTTTTTAATGCTGAGCAATATTCCCATTGTTCTACATCTTCTTTACCCATTCATCTATCAATGGATACTTGGCTGCTTCCCTATCTTTGCTGTTGTAAACAATATTGCAATAAACGAAGGGGTGCAAATATGTTTTTGAATTAGCCTTTTTTTCCCCTTTGGGTAAATACCCAGTAGTGGAATTACTGGATCATAGGGTATTTCTATTTTTAATTTTTTGGGGAACCTCCATACTGTTTCCCAGAGTGGCTGCACCCATTTATATTCCCACAAACAGTGAACGAGGGTTCCTTTTTCTTCAAATCCTCACCAACCCTTGTTATTTCTTGTCTTTTTGATTTTAGCCATTCTGACAGGTGTAAGGTGATATTTCATTGTGTTTTTGATGAGTGATGTTGAACATCTTTTCATGTGTCTGTTGGCCATCTGGATGTCTTTGGGAAAATGTCTGTTCAGGGCCTCTGCTAATTTTTTAACCAGACTGTGTTTTTGGTGTTTAGCTGTCTAAGTTCTTTATATATTTTGGATATTAATCCCTTATCAGATATATCATTTGCAAATATCTTCTCCCATTTAGCAGGATGCCTTTTTGTTTTCTTGATGGTTTCCCTTCATACAAAAGCTTTTTATTTTGATGTCATCTCAGTAGTTTATTTTTGTCTTTGTTTCCCTTGCTTGAGGAGACATTTTAATAAAGAGAAATTATGAAAACAATCCCATTTACAACTGCACCAAAAATAACAAGATACCTAGGAATAAACCTAACCAAAGTGGTCAAAGACCTGTACTCTGAAAAACTATAAAATATTTAATGAAAGAACTGAAGACGACACAAAGAAATGGAAAGACATTCCATGCTCATGGATGAGAAGAAAAATTTTGTTAAAATGTCTATACTACCCAAAGCAATCCAAACATTTAATGTAATCCTTATCAAAATACCACCAGCATTTTTCACAGGGCTAGAACAAACAACCCTAAAATTTGTACGGAACAACAAAAGACCCCAAATAGCCAAAGCAATCTTGAAAAGAAAAGCAAAGCTGGAACCATCACAATTCCAGACTTCAAGCTGTATTACAAAGCTGTAGTAATCAAAATACTACGGTACTGGCACAAAAATGGATATAGATCAATGGAACAGAAAAGAAAATCCAGAAATAAACCCACAACTATATGGTCAATTAATCTTCAGCACAGCAGGAAAGAATATCCAATGGGAAAAAGACAGTCTCTTCAACAAATAGTGTTGGGAAAACTGGACAGCCACATGCAAAAGAATGAAACTGGACCACCTTCATACACCATACACAAAAATGAACTCAAAATGGATTAAAGATCTAAATATGAGACTTGAGGGGTACCTGGGTGGCTCAGTCACTTAAGCATTGGACTCTTGGCTCAGGTCATCATCACAGGGTCAAGAGATCGAGCCTGGCATTGGGCTCCTCGCTCTGAGGGAAGTATGCTTAAAGATTCTCTCTCCCTTCCTCTCCCCTGACTCACATGTGTGTGTGCGTGTTCTCTCTCAGAAATAAATCAATCTTAAAAAAAAAAAAAATATGAGACCCGAAACCATAAAAATCCTAGAAGAGGGTACAGGCAGTAAGGTCTCTGACATTGGCTATAGCAACATTTTTCTAGATAGGTCTCCTGAGGCAAGGGAAATAAGAGCAAAAATAACTATTGGGACAACAACAAAATAAAAAGCTTCTGCACAGTGAAGAACGAATAAAACTAAAGGCAACCTATGGAATGGGAGATTTGCAAATGGAATATCTGATAAAGGGTTAGTATCTAAAATCTATAAAAAACTAATAAAACTCAACACCCCAAAAGCAAATAATCCAATTTTAAAAAATGGGCAGGAGACATGAATAGACATATCTCCAAAGAAGACATACAGATGGCCAACAGACATGTGAAAAGATGCTCAACATCACTCATTATCAGGGAAATGCACATCAAAACTACCATGAGGTATCATCTCATACATGTCAGAATGGCTAAAATCGAAAATACAAGAAACAACAGGTATTGGCCAGGATGTGGCTGGGAATGCAAATTGGTGCAGTCACTCTGGAAAACAGTATGCAAGTTACTAAAAAAGTTAAAAATAGGGCACCTAGGTGGCTCGGTTGGTCGAACGGCTGCCTTCAGCTCAGGTCATGATCCCAGAGTCCCAGGATCAAGCCCCACATTGGGCTCCCTGCTCAGCAGGGAGTCTGCTTCTCCCTCTGCCCCTCACCCTGCTTATGCTCACTCTCTCTCTCTCAAATAAATAAAATCTTTAAAAAAAAAAAAAGTTAAAAATAGAACCATCCTACGATCTAGTAATCACACTACTGGGTATTTACCCCCAAAAATACAAAAACACTAATTCAAAGAGATATATACACTCCTATGTTTTTGTGGCATTATCTACAATAGCCAAATTATGGAAGCAGCCTGAGTGTCCATCAATAGATGAATGGTAAAGAAGACGTGGCACATATATTCAATGGAATATTATTCAACCATAAAAAAAAGAATGAAATCTTGCCATTTGCATGACATGGATAGAGTTAGAGAGTATAATCCTAAACGAAATAAACTGGTCAGGGAAAGAAAAATATCATATGATTTCACTCATATGTGGAATTTAAGAAACAAATGAGCAAAGGAAAAGAGACAGAGAGAGAGAGAGAGAAACCAAGAAGCAGACTCTTAATGACAGAGAACAAAAACAATGGTTACCAGAGGGGAGGTGGGTGGGGGATGGGGGAGACAGGTGATGGGGATTGAGGTGTGCACTTGCTGTGATGAGCACTGGGTGATGTACGGAAGTGTTGAATCACTATGTTGTACACTTGAAACTAATATTAAGCACTGTATGGTAACTTTACTGGAACTAAAATAAAAAAAAAATAAAGACAGATATAGAAAATTGCATACAATGCCGAAGTAGGGCAGAAAAAGGGCTAAAGCAGAATGATATTAGCATGTAAGAATGCTTAAACTTTTTGTTTTAACATAAACCCTGTTGAGGATTTTGATTAAAAAAAAAATTAAAATATCTTTCAGATTACCCAGATTGTAAATTTAACTGAAAGTAACCTAAAGAAAAGGGATCCACAAGTATAAATGCATTTAAGGGACTAGCATTAACCCAAGGAATATGATCCAGGAAACTCAGAGCTGGGAGGAGTGGTTCCTGGAAGCCAGCAGAGGGGAACCTTAGCAGTGTAAGATCGGTACATTTGGGCAGATTTCCCACAGAGTGCCTGAAGGAATAACCCCACATATGATGGTTACACTCTCCTGGCCCATCTGCTCAGGGCACCTATCAACACATGTAAGCAGAACTGAGTAAGATCGTGGACCCAAACATACAAGGGTGGTTAAGAGCATACCTAGCCAAGGTGGCCGTTCCCAGAGTCCTCCAAGCCTGTGGGGTGAGGCGTGCCTGCGCTGGGTCATCCGCGAGTCCAGAAAGGAGATGCATCCAAACTTGCTGATTTTTGATTACTCCCCTGATCATTTTGGATCACACAAGGAAAGTACAGGACATACTCTGTAGGAAGAAACACCAAAACGCTGACAGTGAGGGCCTTTTCTGCCACGAGGGAGAAAAGCTGGATGTTCTAAATCATCACTCTACCCAGAAGAAACCAATCCCTCAAATTGGACTCTACGTCTAAAGACACAGTTGGTTGCCTTGGGAAATTTTTAATTAAAATGTTGCTCTACAGCTCTTCTGCATGGCTCTCTGCATCTTGCTTGCATTCTGCATTGTCTAGGTGAACGTTTTTGGGTTTTTGCCCAGCCTTGGTATTTGTGATAACCTGGAACAATCTGGGCCAGATAAGAGGAGACCTCTCTAAAACGGTGTCACTGAATTGCCCCACTTGAGTGAGGAAAGCCTCTTTGTAGGCAGCATGTATATGTCTGTGTCTTGAATCAAAACACGCTGTTCCACAGGAGATGAAAATCTGGATGATGGGCTCACAAAATCTATACACACTAATCATAGATCTCTATGGAAGAAGGTTGCTGATGTCTTTCCAGGGCACTTCATTTGCCCCTGGCCCATAAATCATCTCTGAATTTGGTAGGAACGTCATTGCTTTCCAGTCTTCACAGCATGGCACCAAACGCATGTCTAGGTCAACTTCGTGGCCATCATAAATCTCACAGCAGTGGGAGAACGGGCTCTAGCATTCTGGATGGGAGAGAGCTGGGTCTCTAGCAAGTTCGTGGGCTGTTATTCTCTCCATGAACCTCTCCTGCTCGGTGACTTTAAGGAGATCCTCCCCAGAACAGATGTGGCTCTTCCCCCGTGGGATGCCCCCATGTATTGCTAAATCAGTTTGAAAAATACTCTCGTAAATCCGAGATTTAGGATGGTTCTGTTTGTTTTTAAGGATTCAGATGGTACTATGCAAATAAGTGAGGCATGGGGAGAAAAACTAGTTATGTGCTGTTAATTCACTCAGCCACTATTTCCTAAGGACCCTGAGGCTCACAGGATGACTGACATCAGCATGTAATAGAGCGAGAGGCTGGATTGCAAAGTAGAGCACATGGCCAGGGACGGATGAGTCACTACACTTTTCGCTGATCACCTGGAAAATTACTGTGCTCTGCTACCAGAGCATAACTACATTTCTGGACAGGGAGGGATGCGGAAGCTTCCAAGGTGGGAGGGATACAACAGCCTGTTTCTGGGGATGGCTTTTTGCTTTGTTCCTAAGGAGCCTGGGAGAAGAATCTGAAATAACCCTGCAGGAAAAACGTGAGATGTGGACAGGAACCAGAGCACAAAGGAAATCTAGCAGAATCAGAGGCTAGGAGGGATGGGGAGAGACCTTGAGAAATCACCGAGCTCCACGCCTTGCAGCCAATCTGCATTTATTACAGATGAGAAAAACCTTATTATTGACTTTTCCTTAAACAATTCAGGTGGGATGTATTGTGTTCTTTAAAACTCAGTTCCAGAAATAAGTGCAACTATTACATTTGCTATTAACTGCTTTCCCCTTCTGTCCTTTACCCAGATTCCTTTGAAGAAAAGATAGTTTAAAAACCCAAGTCATTTAGAAAATGAGATTCTCGGATTCTCATTAAAAGATGTTAAAAATGGTTTTTACAAAGGGAACCTTATTATATATTCATTATTTTTCCTGCCAGTTTCTCTAATCCTGTAGCATCCTCCTCCTTACAGATTTTTAGACTGGACCTGCTTCAGCTGTCTTGTCTGTGCAGACTCTTTCTTTTGAAAGAAAAACTGTTAACTTTTCATTTCAAATACAACAAACAAAGCAGACTGTGAAAACTGCCATCGCTTGGATTTAAATCATAGGCCTTCAGCAGCTAGTACAACCTTACACCTCAGAGAAAAGCAGAAGACTATTAAAAGCTTCAAAAGTACATGTATGGGGAGGGGGGAAGCAGAGAAGAAGCAATGATAAAATCTTTGAAATTCTCTAAAATTATAAATGCCATTAAGCTTTACTATAAAATCCTTCAAATTAATGTGTTCCTAATTTTAGCATTAAATGAGGCTGGTGTATCGAGTAGAACTATTTGCATAATGATGACAAAAATCAAAGTTTCGGGGAAGCAAAATGGACTCATCTGAAACTTAAATTCTAATTCCTGAGCAGCTTCTGACTAATGAGCCTGAACAAGTCAGAATTGTCCTGGCCCTCATCCTCAACAGTGGAAAAAAGATTCTGTGAAGACTTTGGGGGGAAATTTACGATATACACCCATGGCTTCTCAAACTTTTCCTTGCAAGGAACCATGCTGGGGGAGGAGGGTAAATATATCTTCCCAGGAGCTCTGAGGGTTTAGCCAGAGGTTGCAGGTTGCAAGCAAAAGATATTTAAACGTTTCCCATTTTCTCCCTAACATGTATATGTATTTTGAACTCTATGCCATAAAACATTCGTGTCTCTTTAAAAAATATAAATGCTCTAAATAACTAATTAAAATCATGTTGCCCCCATATTAGGCTCTAGGCTAAGCTGTCCAACCAAACAGACCCCAAGTAGAGCTGCTCACAGGAGACGTTGAATTCCTCATGTGATGGTGTAGAGACGGCAGCTTGTCTAGCACCTAATAGCAGCTCTGCTCCACAGGACATTCGGGAACCCAGCTTCCTGCCATCTTGTTGCTCCCTACCCCTTATGGCATTATCCTCGTCTGCTCAGTCAAAGCTGACCCAGCTCCAGATCTATGTTTTAGTCCTAGAAAGGGGAAAGAAAACTAAAGGGGAATGTCATTTCCACTCACATTCACTGGCAAGACCTAGTCACGTGGCTGCAGGAGCTGCAGAGGATGGAAAATACAATTCCTGGGGCATCTGGTGGCTCAGTTAGTTGAGCATCTGCCTTTGGCTCAGGTCATGATCCTGGGGTCCTGGGATCGAACCCCATGTCAGACTCCCTGCTCAGCAGGGAACCTGCTTCTCCCTCTCCTTCTGCCGCCCTCCCCCCGCTTGTGCTCTCGTTTTCTCTCTTCCTCTCTCTGTCAATAAATAAAATATATATTAAAAAAAAAAAGAAAATATAATTTCCAACTGATGGCCATGTGGCTGGCAAAAATTAAGTGCTGCTATGGAAAGATACACCACATCCACCTTACAGATTTCTGTATCCCCTGCCAACTGCTCTATCCTCCAGGGAGGCCCCAGGGAAGCATGGTCTAAGCATGCATCGGCAAACTTTTCCTCTCAAGAGCCACATGGTAAATATTTTAGGCTCTCTGGGTCACATACTCTCTGTGGCAACTACTCACATCTGCTGTCGTCGAGCAAAAGAGTTATAGACTATATGACTATATGTAAACAAAAGAGCATGGCTATTGTTTTACACATCCATTACAGTAAAACAAATTACTATACATTTACAAGTTTACATCAACACACATTTATTATCTCACAATTACCATGGGTCAGGAGTCTGAGTCCTTCCCGTGGAATCTCACAAGGCTGCGATCATGGTCAGTTGGGGCTACATTCTCATCTGCAGGCTTGACTGGGAAAGAGTCCACTTCCTAACTCATTTGTGTTGTTTGTCGATTTATTTCCCGTGGCTGTGGGGCTGCCGGCAGAGGGCCTCGGCTTCTTGCCAGCTGCTGGTTGCCCTCAGCTCCTAGAGGTCACCCACAGTTCCTCACCATATGGCCACTTGCTTCTTCCAAGCCAACAAGGGAAAAAATCCCTAGAGTAAGTTTCACGGCACAATAGAGTTTTACATAATGCAACAACCAGGGGAGGGACACCCCATTTCCTTTGCCACATTTGCATGGTTAGAAACAAGTAACAGGTGGTGCCCACAGTCGAGGACAGAGGACTGTACTGAGATGTGAATACCAAAAGGCAGGGATGACTGGGAGTCTGTCTACCATAGCTTTGTTCCAATAAAACTTGATAAAAACAAAGGATGGGCTGAACATAGTTTGCTGACCCCTGGAATAATGAATAAGGTGTAGAAGACATTGTTTAAGGTAAGAGATAGAAATTCAAAGAATAGAGTTAGAGCAAAAGATTGGTCAGAGCCAGGAGAGCTATACAGAAAGAGAGTCCTAGAAGAAAAATTTCGTATTCTGATTCTATCCTATAAGATATAGATTATCTTACCATGTTAATAAAAAATTAAAAGTGAGATAGATTGGCATCATGTTTGAAACCGGTGATCATAGGATAGAGTTTTTATTAGAACTCCAAGTAAATTTAAAGGGAAGGGGCTCCATAGCAAGGTTTCTGCAATTCCGACTTAAATTCAAACCTACCTGGAACAATTTCAATAGAAACCCTGGTCATTTTCTTAATGATTATGAAAATGACAGCCAACATTTATTATGTGATTATTGCAAATCAGGAATTATGTTGTTTAACATGAATTCTCTCATTTAATCTACATGAACACTCCCATGTTATGCAGATTATTTTTATTCCCATTACAAAGATGAAGAAACTGAGCTTGAGCAAATTGAGCACCACAAAAAGTAGTGGAACTAGGACATGACTCTTAGTCTGTCCCAAGGGTCCAGACACTTAAATCTTATTTCAAGTGTAATAGGATGCCTTTGAAGGGTTCCAAGCAGAGAGATGGTGTAATTAATGTGACTAACGTTCCAGAAATATCAGCTCTGTGTGAAGAGAGGGTTGAAGAGGGGTAGAGCGGAGGCAGGAAGGCCAGGGCAAAGGTGGTGGTATAGCCTGGAAATGGCAGTGCCCTGGAGATACATTTGCAAGCCATTTTGGTGGTAGAGGTGACAGGGCTACCTCATAACTGTAAGGCATTCTACTCTCTCCTTGTTCACGACACTCTGGTCACATGGATCTTCTTTGGTCCTGAAAGGTGCTAAGCCTTTTCCAATCTCTGGGATGCTGGATGGGCCATTCTCATTGTCCAGAATGCTTTTTCACTCTAGTCTTCTATTGTTTACTCTCTTCTTCAACTGCTTTGTTCTACCTCATCCCACAGGACTCACTTCAAATCTCACTTCCTCAGAGAATCTTTCCTTGATGCCCCGATCTAAGTTTGGTCCTATCTTTTTCTCTAAATAGAAGCCAATTATTTTTCATCCCATACTTGTTCACAATTTATTACATTTTCTTGCTTTTTAAAAATTGACTGTTAAACATATTATGCTTTAAGAAGCCAGGAACCATATTTATTTTCTTCATCACTGTTAACACGGTGCTAGCCTATGAAGTTCCTAAAATCACAGGCACTCACTGAATATTTGTTGAGGAAATGAATGTCTGACTTCAGTGTCCTTACACTTAAATACCATGCTAGTACCGCTCACATTTGCTGATTATAGAAGTTACCAGTGTGACACAGCCCAAGTAATTAGGGATGTTCCAGTGTCCAGTTCTCTCTCACCCAATGCTCTTCCCAAAACCTGGTCCCAGGTTAAGGAGAATGTGGAGAACGACACGTGCAGTAGGAGAAAAGAGTGGTGAAGTTGTCTTGAGGCAGGTGAATTCTCCTTTACTGTTGGTGACGGTATAAATGGATATGGGCCTTTGGGAAAATAATTCATCAATATGCAAAATGACTTTAAAATAAATGTTAAGTAGGGATGCCTGGGTTCCTCAGTCAGTTGAGCATCTGACTCTTGATCTCAGGGTCGTGAGTTCAAGCCCTATGTTGGGCTCCATGTTGGCTATGGAGCCTGCTTAAAAATAAACAAACACATAAATAAATAAGTGTTTAAGTAAAAACATAAGAGCATACACAAAAAGGCATGTGTGTGTGTTTATGTATTTGCCTAAGATGTCTGAAAAGACATAGACCAAAAGTTTCCAAGTAGTTTAGGTGGGCACTTCTGGGAAGTGGGAGTGAGACTGGCAAAACAGGAACTTTTTCTTTATTTTTTTTTTTACTATGGGCAACTATGATTTTTATAATAAAATACCATTAAAGATAAAAATGGGAAATAAATCTTCATACTTCTTGGGTAATCCCACCTCTAGTAATCTATACTAATAAAATAATGACAGATGTGGTCCAGGCGTTATAAAGATAGGCCATCAATGAGTTCTACAGTATGTTAAAAAAATGCAAATAGACTAAACGTGCCAACAACAGATTAGGTAACGACATTAAAATTGTCTTAGATGATAAGGACAGGAAAAATGCTCACATGTAATGTTACACAAGCAAAGCAAAGTATTCAGCTGTATTTACGGCATTACTCCCATGTGTTAGGAAAGGAAGAGAAAAGAACGAGAAAGATATATGGGTAGAAAAAACCCCACTACAGTAAAATCTACCAAAATGTCATGAAATGGCCATTTTGGATGATAAGAGCCTATACTTTTAGGTTATTTCTTTATGATTTTTGGTTTTTCATCATTAAAAAGAATCACAAATTACTACTGGAGCATTGCAGGTATTATTTGTAGTAGGTGTAAAAATAGGACATTGGTTCCTTTCTGGCCTAAGTCTATTTGTGTTCAATCCTCTGGTCAGGCAGTCATGTTAAGAGTGCTGAGAGATGGGGTTCCAGCACTTGACCCTCCAACTCCCTTATTTCTATGAAAAAGTCACAGGTATTCAGCACTGTTTGGGAATGGTATTTTCTTTGATCTGTGTATCATAGCAACGCTGGCACCTTAAAGAATGACATGATCTGCAATTAAATATATTTTGGGAATAGTTATGTTTCTCAGTTGGAATCAGACCTTCTATTTGTCCTTTCTTCAATGCCTTTGGTCAGACTTTCTTAAACTAGACTCATCAACAGGAAACCACTTACCCCATTTTTGCACAGTTTTAGGTAATACTCCTAGAGAGTATAAAACCAGGTCTTTTAGGGAGCATAAAATGAGCTACTAATCGAGAATTTCATTTTGGACTGTCACGCTTAATTTAGATACCTACACTGGGAGTTAAATTGGCCATTAAACCAATGAAAACTTCTACCTATCCATATGGTCACTGTCAGGAGGCCCTAACAAATTCAACTTGAGATGATGTATGTGTTTTTGTATATAAGAAGTCTGAAGGAATAGTTACCAAAATGTGTAAGTAGTCAGGTTTTTCCCTCTGGAACTGGCAGAACAGAGTGTAACAAAATAAGACAGCTCCCATAAGCTACATATGGAAATAAATCCTGTTGTCTTAGAAACACGTCTTCCAGATATCTTGTCAATGGAAGTTTTAAGTTAACAAAACTTTTCAAATTAATCAACTACGGACAGCAACTATACTACTACTTTCTGAAATCATCCAAACTCGCAATTGTTCTAAGCAACAACATAGAGCACACATGCAAATAAGGGCATAAACTCCATACACCAAACATTTATTTGAGAGACCTTCAACACAGATACCTCATAGAAGGACTGTGATTTAATTTCAATGGCTGTTTGTTTAACCAAAGGACCTTTCTGAGATCAAATTCCTTCATATGAAGAAAGTCACGTTTGACTCAAATCAATGTCCATGTCTCCCTCAATTTCTCCCCTCCCAACTCCCCACTCCCACCGGCTCTGTTTCTCTCTGTGGAAACTAGAGAACAAATATTTCATTCATAAAAGATCCAACTGGTTAATATTTTTTTATAGGCAACCATACTCATGTTTATATATAGTCACAGCATAAAATACTGTGTACTTCAGTTCACCTAATTCTAAAACATAAAAATTTTATTGACTACAATTAATTAACATATTTATAGAAAGAAAATGTAAAAGGTATCTGTTTTGAAATTTTAAGGATAATGACTTAGCACTCATGACAATTATTTTTATTTATGATCTGAATCTCTCCCTTACTATGAAGTGAATCATTATTAATTTGCAGCACAAAGAAAAGCACACAGAAACCTGGACTATTATTAGATCATTACATTTAGACAAAAATATTAAAGTGCACTGAGAAGCTCCCACTGGAATTAACTGATAAACTACTACCAGCTCTCTTTTAAATTTCTTTCCTATGTTATTTCCCAAGCAAAACATCATTATACTCAAGGAAAAATAGAGTATCTGATTGCATTTGGTTGCCTTCTTGCTTTAATAAGATAATTACCAGAGTTTTGTATTCTAAGGTACACATTATCCCTTGTATCCAGGAACCCTCCTTGATACATAAAGGTGTCATCAAATATGTAAAAAATGAACAGGTCAGACAATAAAGCAAAAACAAGACAATAATAACAATATGGTATTTACTGTTTCCTTTTAAGCGAAAGCATTCTTTACAATTGTTTGCCGTTGGCTCACAGAAGGAGAGAATGGGTATTAGAAGCTCTCAAAACAATGATCTCCCTTGGCTGTTATTTCTCTAAGACGCGGTAAGCTCTGTCATTTACAAGAAGAAAGCTACTGAATCCTTCAGAAAACATAACCTGGCAGCCCATCGTCAGTTCAGAATGATGAGGTGGCAGGAGTGTGATGGAGAAGCCAGTCTTTAGGAGCATCATGTGAGGGAATCCAGCTGCGCTTGTATGGTCTCCAGCTATTCATAAAGACAAAACAAGAGAAAAGTTGCTGAAAGGCAAGAAATGCATATGAAGGGCTGCTCAGAAACTTGCCGAGGGGAGGGACAGATTGGCAGCGGCAACCATGCATATTAAATCCATTCACATAGCAACAGATTCACCACGTAGGGAAGTTTTCTTTTCATATGAAGGTATTAGAATTCATGGCTGCGATCTAAGTTTTCCAATGTGCCAAGGAGGATTTCTAAATTCTACTATTTTAAGTACACTCAGCTGTTTTAATTTAAATGATCACTACACAAGACTTTTGAAGTTGGGGGGTAAGGGAGTGCATCTTTCTGGCTCACAAAGTCAGGATTTGGAAAGAAACATGACAAACACTCAAAGATAAATCTTTATAGGCCTGGCACCTCCCTTTCCTCTTGGGCCCAGAAATTAAAATATTTAATGTTAAATATACCTAAAGTGCCAGTGTGGCTAAGTACCACATAGTTCATTACTGAATGCTTTGCTTTAAAGTAACAATCCCACAGCTTTAATTAAAATCATTTCCACTTTCTTCCTGATTTAGTTTGTCAGATTCTCTTCGGCTCGGCAATGCTTCCCGCCAGGAAACATACGGTGTTTACAAGGGATGTTTAAAGAACTTAGCTCCACAACAGGTCACTTAAAAATAAGAATTCATAAAAAGAAGGCAACATTATGTAAAACCCCACATAGCAGAAATTATTTTAAAAATATAGACCTTGTTATAGAAATCAAACAATTCCTTGTGACTGAATTCCACAAGAACTTTCTCCACGCTCTGTAAGGAAGAAAAAGAAAGAATGAATTTAGTTGTATACAATGCACACTGCAGTTTTTTCTCTCTGGCTAGCCCCAGAATATGCCCTATTATTCTATGAATGGTTTAAAAAAAATACTTACGTGCTCCACTCAACCCCACTGTTGCTAAAACTCACAGACGCGCTTAATGACACTCCACTTTAGCAAAAGGTTTCAACTCTATAGGGACATCTGTTCTTTACGTTGACTCCACAAAGGTTAATAAAATAGAAGCCAGCAAGAGAACAATTTCATTATCTATTTTTTTTCAAGATAGAGATAATATAGGAGATTGTATTTCATCTTTCTCAGCAGTCCATTCGGAATCTAGTAAATACCATTACGCAAGACACTGAAGGCAGCATATCTGATTGAACGCATCCAGCCATGAATGCCTCCCGTCAGCACAGCTGCTGCCTCCAAGCATTAATCTAGCAGTTACGATCCTAACATGCTGAGATGGTTACCTTTCCTAATGTACAGACTCAGCAAAAGTCCACAATTAACATGACAGCTTCAAAGCGGAGACTTAACCATGCTCCTTCCTTTACCCTCAGATGTGACGGGGGAACCTTCGTGGGAGCCGTGGGTGCTGAGGGATATTGGGCACGTCTGCACGACGGTGCAGCCGACTGCAACAGGAATCCGGCCCACACCAACCTGCTTTGGGTTGACTTTGTAAACTGAGGGAACACTTAAAGTAGTTTCTGAAGATCGGTCAAACCTGTCTGTTTTATTCAAGGTACCTCTGGCAAATGAAAGTTAATGAGGAGAGAAGGCCAAGAATGGGCTTCCTGCTCTGACCATACTGTCATGCTCACGGGACATCCAACGGGCACCATGAACTGAAGAAGCGGACAAAGGTTGAAAAGAGACATGAATTCATGTACTTAATTGCTTGAGGTCATTTCCAACATTCTCCTAATTCTCCTTCTGTTTCTATGGCTACTTTTTTCTTTGTCTTATCTGTTTTAATGGTTTCCATTTCTACTTACAAAGCCAACATTTTCAAAATGAAGTATCTCCAGCTAACTCCAGGAGGGTCAATGGGGCTATGTTCAGATATGGCACCTCCTTTTTCAAGAAGCCAAGGTACAGAGGATCAAATTCCACACATTTTCTTTGCTCCTGTAACACCTACCTAGGTAGTTAAGCTTTAAAATGAATCAAGCAGCATATCTGCTTTAAAGCCTCATCCTTTAGGAAGGATAAAAAAGTAGTAGGCTGACACACACCATTGAACCTCCAAAGGTTCAAATCAGCATTATCTAGCAGTGCTGTATTTCCTCCCAGCAGTTAAAGGGAGAAGACAGGCCTCAGTTTACCCTATGG